TAAGTGTTAATATACTAAGCCATTTGTTTTTGTTTCATTTTATTTACTCCATGCAAGAGAAGGTATTTTTTTTAAATTTAATTGTGCATCCAATTATAATCATAAGGTAGACTCACAGTCTGTACTCGGAAAAATGATTAACAAATCAAATTGTATTTATTTGTAACAATAACATTTTTTTAAAWATGATAGTTCTTTGGCCAAAACTTTTTCTATTTGTCCTTAATTATTATTATTAAATATTATTGTTATCCATAAATTATTATTTTATTTTTCAGACAATCAAAGTATTATTGTCATTTATCTCTGATCTGCATACTGTTTATTATCGATTATTATTATTATTATTGTTATATCATTATTATAATAATCATCATTATTCCCTATCATTACAATGATTTGGTCAGAAGTTTTATGTCTATACAGTCTTTTTCAGCCCACATGCTTATAATAAAGAATAAATTATTTACCCAAACTTACTTCTTTATTATTATTCCCCATTGTCTTCTAATGATGTTGGGTGTACATTTCATATAATATTATTTTTTACTTTTGACCCTCAATATACCAACTGTATCAAATTGTCTGCCAGAAATTACTACCAAAGTTGAAGATTGAAGTAATACTTTTAGTGTCTTCAAAAACTATGACAGGCAAAAAGAAAGCACAAACACATTGTAAATCAATGCATTGTTTTGCTCTGAGTTACAATAATATAATATTTAATTTTTAATTTTGCTAAAAGAAAACAATTAAACGTGTTCTAATTAAAAATTAAACAAAAATGCCTTTTATACGCAATGACGCCCTTATTAAATGACCATATTTTTAAGACTTTAGGAACTTGCTACCGATTAGAAAATCAATAGTTTAACTTTTGACATTGTTATCATTTAAGGTGTCGGTGATTTAACAAGGGGTTGTGTATAGACAATTCAATGTCTTTTACTCGTTACGGAGCGTAGTAAGTTGTGTACGAAGTGAATAATATTATCATTAGTGTTTGTACTTTGTAGATACATTCGGCAGCCGCGAGCCGCCCGTTAAGGCCACCCTCGCACTCACGGGACGGGGTAGGAAAGTTTGATTAATCAGTTACTGATTATTTCTAAGCTTATCATATATGCCTGCGCAGCGATGACTTCAGGGTCCAATAGCTATGCTTCAAGATTTAAATCATACCCGGCTCTATCCAATGTATATTATCTAAGGTCTAAGGATAGGCCATTTGTGCTTATCATACAGGAACGAACAAGAAAATATTTTGAAGTTATAGAGGTCTTAACACTAATATATTATGTATATAATATATTATATATAATTAGTGTTCATAATTTATGATAATATCTCTACCAGAATGAGGGTTAATGATAAAAATCAGTCTTTCTCTCTTCCCAAATTCCAGCACACTTATCTCTATTTTATTAATACAGCCATGACCTATCCATTCATTTATATTTATGGCACTAGGACAAATATCAGTGAACTTTACCAGYYGTAGAGGTGGAAAATTTAGTTCATTAAAGGGAATAGTTCATTTAGTTCATTTAGTTCACCAATATACATTAATTACATTATTCATAAGTTTATATATAAATTATCAATCAGATAGTTTAAATAAAAAATGTAATAAAATAAAGTCATGCCATTCGGTATTGTAAAAAATGGTTTTTAAAAAGTATTACGATACTAATACTAATATTCAAAGCTGGGTACTAACTAGTTAGAAAGTTAAAGTTAGTTTTTATAAATAATAACTTTCTAATAAATAAAAATAAACAGCATTCAAAYACTTAACAAGACTGATGAAAATATAAGAACTTAATATTTTAAAGCACAAAATGAAAATTAAATATAGTGTTTTCATGTTTAATATAAATTGCACAAGTATCTTACTATTCTTACTGAATAGATCAAAATGTATCTAAAAATATCATAATTATTTAATTTTTTTTCCTTTGAGTATTGTTGTTATATGACGACAGTGTTAATCAAACTGAGAATTCAAAGTATCAGAACAAGACCTAGAACATTATAAATATTAATACCTATGATATTAGGAATGTATATTTTTTAAAGTATTATTATAATTTACTGCGGTTACATGATAACACAATGATAATATGATATTCATTCAGAGGCTGCCGTGTTGCATTATTAAGTATTAACAAGTTCAAGTAACTTCTCAACTACATGGTGATGTGTCAAGAATTTAAATAAAAAAGTGAGGAATCTAATACAATTTTTATTTGAAAGAAAATTTAATAATATCCAATCATATTATTAAAAAATCAAATAAAATAGTTAGTGAACTTTATGTGAATATGCAGTGTTGGGTAAGTTATTTTTTAAAAGTAACTAAGTTACAAAATAAAATAGGTAACTAGATTACTTGTTAGTTACTAAGTACAAAAGTAATGTGTAACGTTACACTTTTTATTTCAAAAGTAACTAGTTACAATGACGTTACTTTTATGTGATTCAAGTTTTAAATAAAAAAAAAGTATATTTTAAATCAATCTTTTTTATATTTATTTTATACAAATTCTAATTTATAATCAGTTAAATTGAAAATAATATTTACACAAAATCGTTTATTTATATAATTACATTAGATTATACTGGAAAATTTTGTAATTATATAAATATCTACTTAAATAGTTTAAATAAAATTACAATATCCGATCCGGATACAAAGGCAAGAACTGCTCCGTGAAGTTGAAAAAAAAAATAAAATTTATTTTATAATGTAATGCGTTCTTCTGACATGTTACTTCTAAATAATTAACGTAGTTACACTTGCGCTACCCAAAAATAATAATAACAAAGTTACCATAACGTTACTGAAAAATGTAACTACGCTACAGTAACGAGTAACGAACGTTACGTTACTACCCAACATTGTGAATATGTATATAAAATATAAATAAAGTTATTAAAATTTGATATGTCTAAACACCATATTTCACGCTGATGTTAATTTTGTTTCTAATATAAGTTATAAGTTATTGTTATTGTAAAAGTATTTTACTTTAAAACAAATTATAATATCTACAAATCCCATGTATCAGATACTAACTTATAGCTCAGTTAGTATACTTATCAGCTATAAAATAAACTTAGAATAAAGGAACTTAGTGTTGGACATTATATAGTATTAAACTAAAACACAGTATTAATTAAGTTATAGCTGATCGTTTGTTGTTAACTTTATAGCTGTTAGTGGATTGTCCTATTAAGTATTGAAAGGTATCCATATGTATATGTTGACCCTTTACAATATTTCATTAAATTATCATGTAAGTTATAGTTCTATATTTAATTAAAACGTGAACCAAGTTTAACAATAGATTATTAATGTACTTTTATATTAAAGTTAACAAAAACAATATTGATTCAGCTGAATCCAAATCTGTGGTAAATTACCAACTTACGCCTTGAGTTATTATTARGTATTATACATTAGAAATAAATTAGTTATTGATTTTAGTAAATACTATWWYYATATAATTTTTTATTCTTTATTATATAATTATAGGTTTATTGGTTGAATTTACACTTTGTATAGGGCAACATCTTGAGATAGATCTGAGTAAATATATCTATGTATCAATAAGAAAAATCTATGCTATTAAATTAAATGATCTACTATTGTGTCATAAGTATTAACTTTATACACAGTAAATTAAGAAAGCCCAGCCTTTTTTAAACCYCAGGCAATAAATTTATATTGATACTCGCTAACCTTTTTTTATTTTTGTTCAAATGGTACAATTGATACATTATTATATAATATTTTTACAGTATTAAGATAATGCCAACTATTTTGAATTGTATCTTTTAATAAATTATAAATGGTCTATCACATTTGATGTTTGGATTTTAACGTTTTGTATTGTTTAAATTTTCTAATGTTTAGTCTAGTTGAAGTACTACTGTGGGTTGTGCACGCATCATGCATAGTCTAGAGTTTACAAACACAAGTTTAAAAAAGGTGGGAAGTTTCCTATTGCTCTGCTTAGAATCTAAAATCTAAAATACAATAAAACATTTACAGGTGATCACAATAAGTGGAAATGCTCAATAACTATGTGTAGGCTTCATATATTTCAATTCTGCTTTTTCGGCTARCTAATAAACATTATTATACACATTTTCAAATAATTAGACTATTTTATTGACAGTTAATTTTGMGCATGCGCASARCAATTTTTTTTTTTAAATAGCATGATCCATTTTTGACCACAAATTATTTTTTTTGGTATTTTTTAATGAATTTCTTTTCTAAGTCAAAAAGTGACCGAGTTATAGCAATTTGATTTTATATTATTTGCATGGGTATAACAGATTATAAAATACATAGTTGGTAACAATAATCTGTTATACCCGTGCAAATAACATAAAATCAAATTGCTATAACTCTGTCATTTTTTGACTTAGAAAAGAAATTCAACCACTAAAATTCATTAAAAAATACCAAAAAAATAATTTGTTGTGCGCATGCGCAAAATTAATKGTCAAAAAAATAGTCTAATTATTTGAAAATGTGTATAATAATGTTTATTAGTTAGCCGAAARAGCAGAATTGAAATATATGAAGCCTRCACATAGTTATTGAGTGTTTCCACTTATCGTGATCACACTGTATATTGAAAAAAATTAGTAGGTAATTATGAATTATAATGAGTCATAAATAAAGTTAATATATTTTATATATTATTATATTACATAATATGTTTATTTTTAAAAATCATACAACATAATTATATTTATTTAACATAGTTGAATTGTGTTTTGGATCTGATTATCCTATATTGGTTAATGCTTTGATTCACTGTTATGTAAGCGCAGTGGTTGATCTTAGAGATTCCGGTTGAAAAAAATCTAAATCAATAGTTATTGTTAACTAATTTATAACACACTTCCTTTTATTTTATTTTACTTACTTTATTCATAAGTTGAGAATGATTCAATTTTTACACATTTGTATTTTATTATCATCAAAAGTCTGCTTGATCATTTAACTCTTTTTTTACAACTGATCTGATATGGAACTTAGAATGTTTGCTTTTAAACTCCATATTCAAAGTTACATTCTTAAAATAATGAATAAATAGCATTGTTAAAAATATAAGTGCAAATTTAAAATTTTATCTAGTTTACTTACACCACCATTAAGCAATAATAATTTACATTCTAATAAGCTATTAATATGTATTTTAAATTGTTCATTATTTAGTTGTAGTGCATTGGAAATTTCAGAGTATTTCCATGAATCACAGTTTTCAAATAGTAACAAGATTGCCATTTGAATCGTATGCATTGTCACAATATAGATTGTTTGTAAATAATTCAATTTTAACTCACCTAAAGACACAATAAATAAAWAATGTTTAATAAATAATAAGAATTTAAAAAAAAACAAACCCCAAGATTGGTTATGAAGCCATGTTAACTTCCATCCATTAAAATTTTTTTTGTAGAACGTTTCAAACTAAACAATACATATTATACGTATTTATACGTATTATGTTAACAAATATTATTAATATATTATACAAATTTTAAATATTTACATGATATACATAAAGTTTCAGTTGTTCAGGAAGAACAAATGATGATATAGCTGTTAATTCCGAAGGCCAAGCTTTTTTTTGTAATAAACGTGCAGAAAAAGAGATATTTAAATCACCAATAACAGTATCGAGTTCACTAGTTAATAGTACATTTAATTTATCAGATGCTTTGATATCAAATATCATTTGATGTAGGTCAATTGTAAGCTCAGAACCCCAAGATATCTAAAATCAAACGTTTTAATTAATATAATAACTACAAATTTAAAAAACATTTATTTACTTTTAATTTATTGATTATTTCTTCTTCTATATCCATCGAATGGCTTTGTTGAAGTAATAAGCGTTTGGCAAGTTGTTTTTGATAGATCCTCTGGAATACATTTTTATCATCCATATATTTAAATAATATAATAGATTGTAACAGTTTGTGATGAATTTCGGCGTCATAAATKCCTTTAAATGATTTTTTTAATAACATATCGCAGTATTTTAATAAATATTCTGGAGTCTTTGAAGATTGATTTTCTACTAGTTTATTGTTWATGATTACTGTAAATGCTCTATCAAAAGCTTCATTAAAGTTAAAATKATTGTTGAACACAACTTCTAAAATAGATTTGTAGTGTTCATGTAAATTCAATACTTCTTCAATAAAATGATTGTGTAACTGTATATATAAAAATATCATGTTAATTGTAATTTATACTGAAAATAATTGTTCAATACATACATGTTTAGGGTTTAAAGATTCAATATTCCTTTTTCCAAGTTTTTCAATGTGTTCTCCAAACATTTTAGCTAATAAGTCCAATCCATGATTAGCATTGAATAAAAGTAAATAAGTATGTCTCATGTCTTTAAGTCGCTCTTCCTTTAATATAGTTTCAAATTCTCTGTGTATTGAATTAAATTTATCAATTACTAATTGTTGACGGCATATTAAATGCACTTTAGGATGAGTACTAAGAAATAAAATACAAACTTTAATTTGTGTTATTACAGTTTCAATAATTTGAAAACTCACATTTTAGGAAGTAATTTGTTTGATCTAATTATTTCTTCTTCATAGAATGACACTGCTCTAACCAAATACTCAGACATGTTGAATTCTTTKGTCGATTCCAAAAGTTCACATTTAATATATTCACTACTTATATTCAAAAAAGATTCCTCAAAATAAATGTTATAAAACTAAAAAAAAAGATTTAATTCAAAACATACTTTATGAATGCTTCTTATTTTAATTTATATAACAAATAAATATAAATATTTACTTCAAATAGAAKATTKTTAGATCCCTGGACTTCGATAAATGAGTTAATAACAGCAAAAATTGTATCTAAAGATGTGGTTATAGATATGCCACGTCGTAGTTTGTTAATCTCATCGAATAGTAATTTGGGTAGACTGTCTTTCAATTGTAAAACCATATTRCGCTTCCACACATCAAGTCCAAGATTTTTGATTGCCGTCTGTGTTGGTTCATTTGGTTCAATGATTCTATACATCATAGACTGCATTTTATGTTCCTCAGAATTTATTGTATTGTAGTTACTAGAAATTTATTTATAATATGTTATATATATAATTTTATAATATTATGTTATCTTGGATTAAAAAAAATACATACTGGTACAGCACATCTAGTTTTTTGACACATTCCCAATACCCCTGCCAATTGCTATAATATTTTTCTATCAGATTTTCAGAATTTTTAGTTTGAACAACACACAAAAGTTGAAGCACTCGTTCCTCTAGTAAGAACTTTGTTGAATCATAAAGTCTCTGACTGTGAGAATCTGGATAGGCCATACATAAAATAAAAATATCATTGAAACATTTGTACCATGTATCCCTAGAAACGTTGCCATGTGTTAAGATATTCTTAACAGTCTCTTGTAAGGAATTCCAGTATTTCTCAAAATTAATGTTTTTCCTTGAGACTGATGTATGTGCCATATCTGTTAAATTGTTTTTAAACAACTACCTAGTAAAAAAAATAAAACAATAATAATAAAATAATTTATAAGTTTCATATTTTTTTATAAATGCAAATTAATTGGGTTATATATGAATTTAAAGATTTCACTMATTTCAGACTATGTTAAGCATTTTCCCTATTTAAATAAATATTGAAACAAAATGAAAAATTCACAAACGATATCAATCATTATCTCAATAATAAACGAAAATCACAAAAAATAAAATAAATTTAAAATGGTACTTAAAATTTGGTACTCAATTATTTATCAAAACAATTTAATTAACTTTACTTACTTGAATTTCAATAAATTGATTAAATAGGTATATCTRTTTTTTTTTAATCGTTGATTTAAAATTAAAATTTTAAACGTGTGAAATTGCTAAACAGTATAATTAACTACGGTGCGAAAAATGAGAAACTACGTTTGATATTAAAACGATACAAGTAACAAGTGTCTAATAACAATGTCGGTCGACTCAAGATTGAAATAACAAGGTATGCTCACGCTGATTCGATGCGCATGACTCTGACGTCACGTGCGCAACAAATGCATTGAAGAGCCAGATTTTAACGTAGTGCAGCCAACGCCGTTTTACACAAAATGCGTGTGGTAATCGAAACGGTAGTCAGAAAAAAAAGATCCACGGAAAAAAAGTCAAGAAAAAAAATCCAGGGAAAAAAAGCCACGGGAAAAAGATCCACAGAAAAAAAGTCAAGAAAAAAAATCCAGGGAAAAAAGCCACGGGAAAAATAAACTAGGAAAAAAAAAGCCATGTGAAAAATTAGTCACAGAAAAAATAATCAAATAGGTATACCTATAACAATTAAAATTAAAGTATTAAATTAGGCATTATTTAAAAATTGTTAACACATTATTGGTCAAATATATAAAAAATAATTATAATTAAATATACAAAAAAATTAATTTAAAGTATTATTCAAAATTTTTAAACATTGGTCATATTGTATACATATATATATAATTATTAATACACAGGTTATAATGTTAATTAATTTAAAATTTTTAACACAGTTGATCCATACTATAGTCCGTATTGATATATAAAAATAAAATTGTTAATATTATAATACACATTGAATAAAAATAATATAATATTTTGTGGATATTGAAATCAATTGATTTATGTCTTACACCCTAGATATGTATAAGTATAATGTATATACTTTGTACAGGGTGATTCTTTTTTAAATGTACATGTTGCAGTATAAAATACATGCTATCTTGAAATAAATAAATAAATATATATTTTTAATTTAAACTTTTTTTAAAATAAAATCAATACATTCATTGTTGTTTAGAATCTAAAATATATTTATTACTATGAATAATACATAATAACATATAACCTGTGTATACACAGGTAACCTAACCTAACCTAACCTAACCTATACAATATGACCAATAATGTGTTAACATTTTTTAAATAATACCTAATTTAATACTTTAATGTTAATTGTTATATATTTAATTATTGTAATTTGGATTTTTCCCATGGCTTTTTTTTCCCTGGATTATTTTTCCCGTGGTTTTTTTTTCCTACATTCAATCGAAACATACCATAATACATACCTGATTATTTGTATAATGGGTGAACTGAACTGACATGTTAACATTTCAATAGATTTCATTGCAGAATGTCCACTTTAAAAAGTTAAAATATTATTATAACATTTAAATTGTCACATTCACATAGTTTCGTTCGGGCCATCAAATACATATAAGTATATATCAAATTATATATGCCATATGGTAAGGCATGTAATTAAATAAGTTGATTTAGCCTTATAATTATTTTCGATTTGAAAAATTGCATACATTTATTTAAATATCTTATGATAATTTTTAAATCAGACTTATTAAAATCTAAATATTTTTCAAAAATGATATGATTCCAAATAATTGATTTGTGTTACTAAATTTATAAAACCAACCATTATACTGTACATAAACAACTAAATTGTATTTATTTTATAATTTATAATTTCAAGACAAAAAAATTCCACTTGACTCAGATCAAGTTTTTATAAATTTAATATTTTGAATTTTCAAAGAAAAATTAAATTTTTTTTTATTTTCAGTGCAAAAAAAATATATTACATGTTAGTACACGAATCTATCAATTATATTATATTATAAAAAAAAAAAAAAATAATAATAATTACAAAAATATTGATTAAAATGGAAGTTATATCTTTGTCACTTTGTCAGTTCTACTTGTTACATCTTGTATACCTATTTGATTGGCTAAGCAGATGTTCAATTTTGTTTTTACTGAAATAATATCGTGTAGTCAGAAATATTATTGCGTGAAATAGTGACCGATGGGGGAGCGGGTAGTTCGTGCACGGTTTATTCAGCCTGCCTGCGACCGGCACGAATAACAAGATAATCATGCAAGTGAATAATATGTATCATAAAACATGGGCGGTTAGGGTACATAAACTCTGCGGTGCCCGTGCGGACGTAATTCATCTCAAACGATGCTGCAGGATATTTTAACCACCCCACACACACATTCTATAATATAGAACAGTGGTTCTCATACCTTTTTCACATACCACTTGTGCATATTATCAATCAGTCACGTACTACTAATGATTAAAAATGAGTCAATACAAATTGTACATAGTTAAATACGTTTATTGTAAATAATATGGAAGCAAATATTAAGCATACAACAATATTATATAATAATTATCACAAATTCACTATTTTTTTTTTTTTTTTTTATATATATAAGATTTACACAATAATTTTTAATAAGAACCACGGGTTTGCATAGGTTTGGTATTACCGATGAATAAGTTGAGCAGTACTACTGATACTTTAATTTGAAGCTTAAATTTAAAATAAAATAATCAGAATATTTATCTACGTATTTACGTGCGCGTTATACCACCATGCAGTTTTCCACGACATAGTTTGAGAACCACTGATATAGTATTTAAGACGTACTTTTGCACCCCAAATATGAAGGGCAGATACAGATGGTTAGCTACTCGTGAGTTCCAAACTCCGCCCACATACACTTTGAAACATAGGTACCAYCTTAAGTATAATTATTATAAGTTATTGACGTAGCCGCATGGGTATTATATTGTTATTATGTGTCTTTGAGCTGGGTTCTTTTTCATATATACTTTCACATATTTATTGAGGGTTTGGGCCTCATTCCACCAAAATTTTTTAAAATAATATACAACTAAAATTAACAAAAGCGGGCAAGTGGGTACCGCTCTGCTGTACATTAGGGGGTGGGGTGGACCTCTGACTAGGGTAGGTTAAATTTGAATAGATATCATTGCATGCGAAAAACGTTTCTGAATGGAGATAATTTGTCAGTCTAGGATATATTATATTTAAATATTGTCATATATTCTATTTTGAAACAAATATTTTATTTTTCAATTAAGACGCATTTTGCATAAGGCAT